CGGACACCTGGTTTACTGGAACCAGTGATGCGGAGCAGTTAGAAGAGCTTACGGTAACTGCCTACTGTTCCTGCATCCACCATTTCTTGAACCCTACTGGTCCACCAGGCTTCCTTCCAAGCACGTAGGATCCGGTATAGTTCGCGCCTAATAGCCGGTCTGGTCACATTGTGCTCAGAGCCAGCCGGAGGGTTTACCTGGATTAAAATAGGTCCACCGACCTTTCAGATATCCAATGACTGGAGCAGTGACGATTGATAGTGCCATAAGTAGGTGTTCTTGCGTCATGCATGGCGGCCGAGATCCTATACCACGGAAGCTCAGTGAATCTTGATAGCCTTGCCTGACCAAGGGCTGAGACAATTTCTCCGTTGCCCATCGGAATAGACACTTGGTTTGCCTCCCGGTAAACTTCATGGAGAAACGACAGCGTACCAAGGCATGATCAGAGTCGACACAGGTATTCCAGTACGACCGGCAATTCAGGATGGAATCACGCCATCTGTAACTTATGGCAATGTGATCCATTTGGGTCCCTCGCTGGCCAGCTACAGGAGGACACCAAGTAGCACTTCGGCGCCCACTGTGTCTAAAAACAGTGCTACTAAAATAAGTGATGCTCCGCACACAGTTGCAGCAGACGCTCACCGTTGTCAGTCCGTTTTACGTTATGCCCATAAGTACTACCCCGCTGAGCTTCTGAAGAACTCATGCGCTCTACTTGTGCGTTCATATCCCCTGCAAGTACTATAACAACTGAACTAGTAGCACTGCGTAGTAGCGCGTTCAGTTCGTGAAAGAATGTGGCCTTAACAGCATTTGAACTGCAGTCGGTGGGAGCATAATCAGAAATCACAAACAAACAGCGTTTGTACTACTTCGTGAATCAACCTTAGCTGATGTCAGACGGGCTGCACATAAACGGCTGTTCACCGGAATCCAAACAAACAACGATGGCTCAGCCTTGGAGCTTAGAATGATATTTACCCCAGCTTGACCCATGAGTGCTGCATCGGCGTCTTCGAATGCGTGCAATCAATAACAAGAGGAGAAGCTGGGTACAGTTAATTCAACAACCCCATTAGGGTCATTGATGCCAGTTTCGGACACACAACACCCATCAAGACCCAGTGTGTCCAAGGTGCATGGAAGTGCAGCCAGTTGACCTATTTGTCTTAGAGTGCAAACGTTGAACGTCGCCAGGGAAACGCGACAGAGTGGCCTTGTAAGGGACTGTTGCCGATAGGCTTCCGATGGGTGTTGTGGGAAGGTGGCCGCAGATGGTTCTACACCAGTGGCACTTCGGTTGCTATCAATTAAGCTGGGAATTATAAAAGGAAGGTTAGTAATAGGGGTCGGGATGGGAGTAAAAGAAAAAGGTGGAAAAGAAAGAAGGGAGGCGCCAGCAGTAGCATGTTTTGCTTCTCCGCCCTGCTGTAGGCAGCAGATAATGCGACACTTGATAACATACGCGACGCCGATGCAAGATGAAGCTTACGTTTGAAGAAAAAGTCATGGTTGTATGTGGGCTGAGTACTGTCAGGGCGCCCAAACCTAGACAGGAGGACTATTAGGGTCCTCAGCCAAAGCCTTTGGCTCAAAAGTCTGTCCGCAACTCAGCGGACGACATCCAAATTAAAACCTCAACCTGGGGGACCAAGAGACTGAGTTTGTCTGACCTCTCACCATTGACCAACCTAGTAGGAGTGGCTCTCAAGGGGCCGAGACACCATGCAGTATGGCTCAATGGGTCAAGGGGGTACGCAAACCGTCGCACCAGGTTAAGATCTAGTCTCGTTACGAGTTCTGGCCCAAAATAATGGGGAATAACGTTAAACATACTGGGAACACAGCAATAAGTTTGCATCAACAGCTCGTACTAAGGAAACCTATCCCACCATTAGAAAAAGCTAAAAAAACTGAACATACATGGTAGAAATAGTGAAAGAAACACAGGCTTAGTTCCACGGGAATATCATTCAGCACCTGACTAATGTAAAATTGGCAGTGCCACAGCACAATTAACAACAACAAAAAGGGGAAGACAGGTATCCAGTGGAATGGTTAGGTTTATAAGATATGCGTTGTGTGGGCAGAAATCTTCCCGGTTGCCTAGGCCGAGGTAGAGGGTTGACTTAAGGGACCCCACGCTAAGCCTTTGATCATAAAATGATGACTCGCAAGGCAACCTGGCGATTAACGAAGATCGTTGATAGCCGGGTAGCTAATTCGCCTTCTTTGTGCACTGTAGCAGTCCACAGAGAAGCCGGTTGCCAACAAGTTTGTTCACTCGACCTCCGTTTGGTACTCACTTCTGGTTACAGAAATGAGTGGTCTGTGATCCTATGGCCGGAAACGCACTATAGGAAGTTACCGTTCATTTGTTAGTATAATAAGGGTATTTGACTCCTGGGTACGTCGACATCAAATGTTCCAAAGCTGGGGCTGGGTTTCTGACATGTCTGTTGCCAAGTCACAATAGTTGTTGCACGCAGACTGGCTGATCCTTATCCAAGCGAGAACACGTTTGTTCGAGGGATATGCAGACGTCAGTGTCGGTCGGAACTCTTTCCTGGCTTGGTCTTGAGGTCAGATTCGTGCATCACTTCGCTGCAAGCGCATTTTAAGGCTACGGATCGGAGATGCCAGGTAGGCAGAGACACGCGAGCTATCGATCGTGCGCAAGTAGAGTTTGGGCGACACTGGTAGGTGTTTTCTCATATGGGTGATACTTGGTTGAAGAGGGCAGGTCTGTAATTGCCTTATATCGCTACAAATAGGAGTAGTTGCCGCGTTAGTAAAGCACTTAAAATAGGCTTCCAGAAATGGTCAGAATACGTTGGGTAGGAAGCAAGATCAATGAATTTAACGCGCAAGTTCGAGGAGAAATCATCATCGTCATCAATACACGTTAGTTGATGGTGAGAAACACCTCAGCTAATGTGCTGAAATACAAAGATACCATATCAACAAATTACACCAAAAAATACTCCAGAACAATAGAATGTTAAATATAATGTTATGCATTTCGAATGAGAGCGGAATTGGAGGGGGAATATAAAGTGGAGTGTTGAATACTGCCTCTTGAATACGTCAGGTCCTAACAATGTGATACCAACTCTCTTAGACGGATGAACGAACGAGACTCAGAATTATTTCTCGCACAGCACGGTAACTGACAATTTCGAAGTCTGTGGGTTCTCGGAACTTAGCCGCGAAAGATTAATTCACGCGAGTCGAACAGGTTCCTAGACCGAACGCAAAGTTTCTACGCACGATTTCCCAACCCAAGACTGAAGCAAGAACAAGACAGGCCTTTACCACAGGCGCTTTTACTGGCCAAAGCTAAGGCGATTCTAGCGTTGTACAGCCTCATTTTTATATCACGAAACGGTGATGAAGGGGAATTTTTCCTTGGAAGGGTTTGCGTAAGCAAACCCTGGAAACAAGAAACATAGTTTTATGTAAATGTGCAAAGTCCGTAAACTGAGCAGAAATGTTGGAAGTTTGGCGAGAGTTGTCCGGAAAAATGAATGTTGCTTGGATACAACAATGCGTGTTTGGTTGGAAACAAGACTGTTTCTGGGTTCAAAGGCTAAACAATGCGCATGTTACACGAGTTGGAAGGCTGATTGAACGTGTGGTTTTGTCTGCTCTGAGTACATGTGCACTCGAGTGAATCGGGTTTTCAGCCTTCCGTAATTTAAGCCTTTAATAATTATAGGGACGTTGGGTCCCCATAACAGGGAGGGAATGGAAAAAGAAACTCACAACACTAACGCCAATGGGGCCGGTTCTTCGCGATATCAGTAACTGTGTCCAACCAAAGGTGTTCATGGTTATTCGGACCCCAGCCAGGCAGTCGGGATGCATCAGCCGACGCCAGATTCGAAGTCAGGGTCTTTATTTCTCGACCAAGTCATCCGTTGGAATCCCGTCCGCTTCCAATCGCACCTCCGAGGCGCAAACAATGCACGTTGAGGGAATCGGTGTACTGGCATGCGCAACACGTGGCCCAGTCATCAGAGCCTTGTTCGTAATCTAATGGTGCTGAGCGGTTCACTCACTCTTCCGACACCAAATACGCGAAGCCATGTGTAGCATCCCAGAAGGTCGTTATTATCTTTTAGGTGCAAGTTTATCACTGATAGATTGTGTACTATTAATTCTTGTTTTACTTCCCCATACCTAACAACCGTGTTTGCCTCCATTCTGCTCGCCGCTCGTTTGCTTGGGGAATTATTACCGTGACGTTCGCTCTTGTTCACTTCATCCGTTCACGATTTCTTGCAGCCCCTCAGCTATAGTCAGTGTGTTCATCTTTAAATGCATTCTAACATTGATGTTCCATTACATGCCAAGGTCAGAATTAGTATTCGCTTGCTCCACACATGCAACTTTCTGATATAACAAATGAGTAACTTAATTTCTGTTTGACTGGATAGTTTAAAGTATAATGAAAACTGTGAAAGGCTTTGAGACGAGCGTGCTTTGTCTAAATGAAACATTCCTGCATCAAAGTCTTTCCCAACTGCTAGCGGTATGCAAGCGCAACCAAAGCGCAACGTCAGCGGTCAACAGACTTTTATCACACGGGACGGGGTAACTGGAAAAAGTGACTACCGGGGGCTAGATAACTGACAATGGTTAGCGCGGGCCACAGAGTCATTATACACAGTATTCACAAGCTAGAACAAAAACAGAGAAAAAAACTAAGAAAACACGATGCTCGGTCACTGTGTTCCTTTTCTTAATAGCCCTAGTGAAGGCTGAAAGAATGGGGCCTGAACAAGAACAAAGATGTTGATCTAAAAAGGCAACAAAAATCCTATCTGAACACCGATAAACGGGGGACAGGTGGTCATTGGTGGAACTACGGATCACCAGCAATGTTTGCTGTTCATATATATATATATATATATATATATATATATATATATATATATATACCGCAATTTGTCGGAGCACTAGGTTTTCAACTTAAACATTTTACTTTTCAGCTAATTCCACCAAAGCAACTCGGTTTACCGGAATTTAACACCGTACTGGAGCCTGATCCTTTGAAGTTGAAGTTTCTCAACAGAACAAGGCCTAAGAGTGAATTCAGACATTTCATCTATAACTGACCACAGTTTGGGGTGGACTTAATACAAGTTATTCCACAAAATACACTTCCTCATCTACTATTCCACCACTGAAGCCCCCACCGAAGTGGACAGTGGAGCTATATCTCGACCCGGAACCATTTCCATTGAGGCCATGCGAGTTCACGGTAAGCTACCTTAAATTTGAGCTCAATTTCCGATGTACATGTGCGTGTTTCAGCGTCACCGTCTGCAATTTCGTGACCCCCACGAACTTTTCCTCGAGCGTGTGGAAACTGAGCTTAATCGCCTCGGGGAGCAAAGGAAAACAAATGGGAGAAAAAAGAAAAACGCCAATAAGCTATTTCCGATGCAAATGTAGTCAGTGCTTGAATCGCTTTTATTTGGGTTTAATTCGGTTAGGTCAAAGTAACAACCGATCACTTGATAGTACTGACCTGTCACAGCAGCTAACAAAGGGTATTTGGCTACAAACGTTTTCTTACACTTCTCTCAGCAGTGTGGCGTGCACCTGCCCGTCAGTGGCTCATATATGTTACTCTAAAGCCTGCATTTGCAGGATGCGAATAAGCAGAAAAGGAACTAGACCCACAATTCGTACTGGCGTAAATAGCAGGGACATTGCACAACATCAAAATATATGGGACTATTAGAACACCATTATACTCCATAATGTAAGTTCGTCAGACCAATATTAGAGGAAGCCAATAACAATTTAGAATGTGAAAAAGAAGGAATCAAACATTAAGCGGTCTGTAAAACCTTAATTGCCCTTTAAGTGAACCTGGGTCAATTCGGTTACTGGATTCGTAAAGAAAACGGAAAAGCACCAGAGATCCCTCGAACTCATCACCGAACTGGACGACCGAGCCCATCCATATTTGAACTCCTTATTTAGAAACGACGAAACTGGAATGCAAGTTTGTGGTGCAGAGATCGTAGCTATACCGCCAAACTCCACAAGTAACGATCGCCACAACACCTGGGTACATATTTATATTTCCTTTGGAGTACACGTTGTCGGCACATCGTGAAACGCAAGCTCAAGGTGGAGACCAATTCACTTTGAATCATTATGTAATATACCGAAACAATAAACATGCGTTCCATGGTCATCTAGACAGTAATACCTGAAGGTAAAGCGCTTCAGTAAACTTAATGGTGGCATTAGATAGACAGGAAATTACCTCAACCTCAGTAGTTTGGGATGGCTTCAAGTAGGACAGGAAAACTCTCCATCGACAAAACTAGATAAATCGGCATTATAATGGAAATAATTCTGTATAAGTCCAACTGGAGACTGATTACCCATCAGCCTACGGAAGATTATACGGTTATCCAATAATGTGATAGATTAGTTTTACCACTTAGAACAATCTGTCCTCATCTGACAGGTTGGCGGTGGTGAAAGAATAATAATAATAAAATAATGTGTCAGCTGTACGCTGTAACGGTGCTTCGCTGCCGCGCGACCACCACCAGTCGCGCGCGGGCTGAGTATACCGCGAGGACGCCCACCCCTACGTGGATTCGAACCGGTGACCTTATGGTTGCAAAGCAAACGTGCAGACCACTCGGCCACCGGCCGACATGATTTAAACCAAAGTCCCGGTCACAACCTCATAGAAGCTATGCGGGCCGTTTGAAAGCTGTATAAATGGAAAACAGTGTCCCAACACAATCGTAACTTTCTGAAGCCCTCGTGTCTAGACTTCGTGGGATAACAAAATGACCAACGGAAAGTAATTCATTAGGTCCATTATATCACGCAATCAAAAGGCTGTTAAATAGCATCGTTCTAGTGCAGAGGTTTCGCCTGGTAAACGCAGTCGATGAAGTAATTCTGTGATTGAATCCAAACAAATACAAGATCTGAGAATAATACGAATCGATATATGAACCGTAGCATTAGGCCGAATACGTATCGCCACAAACCTGGAACAATTAAGCCACCAGTTCTCAATAGCATCGATCAACTGCTAGAATTGTGTCGTTCATAAGCTGTATTGGAACCATAAGACGGCGAATGTGTGCATCAATTTGCCCGCGAGGCTCTCTAAGACCTCAGGTGTAGGTAATGGGAGAAAGACACCAGCTTGTCTGTCACTGCAGGCTGCTGTATCTCTAGAGTAGTGGTGTGCCAAGAGTAGCCATTACTGCGTCAGGAGCCAGATGATGGGATACATTAGTAAATCGGACGGTAACGGATCAACAGTGTATCGAACCGACGATCGGTTTGCCCGTTCCCCCATATTACTAAGTTCTGGCGCAGTACTGCCTACTCCTGACCGATCGCAAAGTAAACGACATTAAGATGCAAATTATGAAAAGGAACGTCAGCGCGTGCGATACATTGCTAGCTTTCAGTTAAGACTCCGAGTGGGCAAAGTCAATACCAGCCAGATGAAGCTGTCAACGAAGACTGCGAAATTACATCCGATCATCTTCGAAAGTAGCATCGGCTTCGCTGAATTTTTCATGTTCCTCGCACGCTTACGGACCTCTTGCTCGGTAGTGTAGCATTTGCGCACATTAGAACTGAAAATGGAGGGTCAACCAAGAAGAAGTGACGAAGATGCATGGAGAAAGCACCCCAGCGTCGTAATCGGATTGATGCAATTCTAACTTCAAGATGGGGAGTTCGCGATCGACCATCTACATTATACCGTCATTCCGACCTCAAGCAATCATAGAGATTTCTGTATCCAGCTTTTTTGTCCCCGTAAATCGCTTTTCAATTCAACCAGAGAAGCTTAATGTTTGACATGCTTTCCTCAGTTTCTGCTTAGTATGTTTATCTGTGTTTTCACACTGTCATGATGACGATAGTCAACAGGAATGCAACATTCGTAACCCGATGTTGGAAGCAGAATTTCAGTAGAACTGAACGATATTCCTCTTGTGATCTGAGAAAACAAAGTGGCTCAACGATGCGATACGTCAACACACCAAACATCGTTGTTTAACTAGAGCGCTGCGCACTGGATTCGTGTAAATCGCGATTTATTTGCTGGCCCCAAACAAAGTACACGGAAAGTGTGCCTTTGCCGTGATTGATTAGTACCCGCATTTTGGTTATGCGATCCCTGATTGCCCAATAGTCAAGGAGTCTATTCTACCATATCGTACATACTAGTGAGGACTCACTGAGTCTTCTTGGATGCAACGCTTGTCATGGGGACCCAGTCCATGGCAAATTGCGCGATTGTGTGGGCAGCGACACAGCAAGTGATTTTTAGATGAGTTGATTGTGACAGCTGAGTACAGTCTTTTCAGTAAAGCCGAAAAGCAAGGTACTACTCTAGATGTAACACTTACCGAGACCACAATAATGGTAACAGGGATGATGGAACGTCCCTGTCAAGCATATAATTAAGCACTCATGAGTATGGGATTTTGATATAGATAATTGAGGTTCATCACAGCCAGCTTTCAAATCAGATAGTCGTCCACATGCCTGGAAAAGCATTAGACTGCAGCTTCAGCCTGTTGGGCATCATCAGTAGTGCGCATCCATCAGGATTCGAACCCATGACCACCAGCAGCTTGAACCGCAAGTCAGCAGCTTATACCACTGTGTCATAGGGGACAGCTTCGGACCGTCATGATTTACAAGCCAACTGCGATATAGCGCGTCTTAATCTCCAATGCCAGTGTTATAACGCTGTGACCGCAATCAACCTGTTGATTCACGCCCACTGGTAAACCTGCGCCCTTACGCCTGTTCTGTTTGATGCCTTGGCAAATCCAACAGGAAAGAAGACAGAAGAAGACTCAGCAGACCAGAGTTATATTATAAATAAATAAATTTTGTATTCTCGACTAAGCGAGGCACGCCTGCGCAGGCGTGATCATGTTATGAGTACAAAATGTGATCAGTTAATGTACAATGGGATTGTTGCATATGTTTAAATATGAATGTATGTAAGTTTGCATGTAGGCGTTTTTAGCTTCGTTTATGGGATTGGTAAATTTTTCCTGTTGTTTTGCTTGAATGTGTTTGAAGGTGTCGCCAGTGCTAAATGGAGGCTTCCTATCTGTGGACTTGAGGCGATTGTCCAGATAAGCGATGGGTGACTTTAGTTAGTGGCGAGTCACAACCGCCACATCACAGTGTTGTTAAACGGACTTTTGTGGCTTTTTATAGGGAGAACGCTTGCCAGGGGAAAACCCACCACGTCCTGGAACACTGCCGCCGAACTATTTGCTGGAAGGGGGTAAACCCCAACCACCCAGCTGGCACCACGAGGAGGTTGTTCGGCCAGCCAGAGCACGCTCATATTTATATGTCCGTCTAACCAATCCTCTAAACATCGTCTGGCGGACTTGGTTGTAAGCCCACGCTCCAAAATTGATTGTCCGCACCGTCTGGTCAATTCGCCGTCTTGCTCCGGCACGTCAATCTTCATCCGCCCACCCGGGGCATGACAACGCACATGATGTCTGATGCGTGATTTCATCAGCTTCCGGTCAGACCTTGGCAACAAGCATGCTGTCTGATGCGCAATTTATCAGCTTTCGGCTGGGCCCAGGTAACACGCTCACAGGGTCTGTCCCAAGCATGATTTGTGGCGAACACGCGCACGTTGGCACTCAGCTTTCTAGCCCAGCTGTCAGCCAGGTAATTTACGAACTTTGCGGAGGACAGAATTGGAGCTATATCACAGTTAGCTTGTAAATAATGACGGTTCGAACATGTCCTCCGTGGTGTAGTGGCATAAGCTGCTGACTGGCGGTGCGAGCTGCTGGTGGTCATGGGTTCGAATCCTGATGGATCCGATGGATGCGCACTACTGAAGATACCCAACAGGCTGAAACTGCAGTCTAGTGATTTTCCGGGCATGTGGACGACTATCTGATTTGAAAGCTGGCTATGATGACCCTCAATTATATATAATTAAGTCCTGTAAACACAAATGACATGTGAAACTAGAATGTTGAGTGGATCAGATATTTTGCATCCATCTGTTTATACATGCGGTAAACACAGGTCAGCCGCTGAGAAAAACAACAGTGACACCGGAACCGGCTAATGGTGGAACGGATGATCTGAATTCGTCTAGTCCGATTAATTATTCGGCTCTACATGTACCTGGATGTATGATGACCCAGACAAATGGGTTTACGAGACCGAGGCAGGTAGAATTTGTGAGACAGAGGAGGACACGGTACGCGGTGGTGCACTATGTCAAGTATACATGTGGTTAGTCCTGAAGCTGCTAGGGCAACTTAATGGCGGGTCAGTAATAGATTAATTTTGCAAACCGTAACGATCTGAAGCTGTTCCCCGTGGCACTGTGGCATAAGCTGCTGATAGTCATTGGTTCGAATCGTGATGAATACGAGGGATGTGCAGTAGTAATGATGCCCAAAAGCTTGAAACAGCACTGCAGTGTCTTTCCGGGAAAGTGGAGGACTATATGATTTAGCTGCTTCGAGGAAGT